AACAACAAAAGAATGTAACTGCTGACAACCTCATTCATGGCCTTTGCAGTTGAGAGACAAGAGTTTTAGTGTCTGGTGAAACAAAGTGTTGACATGTACCCTGGCTGCTACATCTTTGATTTTAACTTTCTTCTAAGGCTAGTCCATTTTGGTGACCATTTGATCTTAACCTAACAAAATTGTTGCATTATATTCTGGAGTTGAATACATTCTGGATTATTCTTGAATTTACATGAGTGATGAATATTAATATTCAACTGAATAATCTAATCTATGAACCGCATCCATGTTTCCTAAGGTTCAGATAATCTGATTTACTTTTACTAGGGCCAATTTATGTTACATCATAAATCAAACCAATACGTTGATAAGATATAATACTTAAGTTGAGTTTAACGTAAACATACACAAAACGTTGCACCCGTTTTTTTTCAAGTACTTAAAGTATTATTTCAACGCCATATTCTTCATTATTTTGAAGTCTCTAGTGATGAAAATCATAGTTTGTCAGTTTCAATTCATTGTCTGATGTAGAATACTGTATTCATAGAGTCTACTTAAGGTAGTTGTCTACGTTAACTTAAGTACAGTTAGATATCTCACCTGTGTTCCCTTCCACCTTGTGACTTCCTCACTGTTTCCGCCGATTCTAGCACCTAAAGACGTTTCCACGTCATCTTGGGACGGAAGTGGCTTGCTAAGGAAGACGTCTGCGTCTACAGGAGAGCCGGACGGCGGCGACAAGACGTGTCCGAAGGAGTTCCCGAGCCTCTGCGGGCGGAAGGAGTCGTTGGTGGAGGACGTGTCTCCGCCGCTGCCCTCCCCATCCACCGCCGCGCCGCCCAGCTCCAGGCCCAGGCTGAAGATGATGTCCTCGAGGCTCGGTTCCTCCCCGAGCTCCTCCCGGGACGGTCCCGGCGGCAGCCCGGCGTGTGGAGACCGCAGCACGGCCATGAATTCCGGGCAAGAACGGCGGTTTTTCTGGCAGCCTCGTACGAACGCTGTTTACACCATGGCAGGTTTATGTATGGTTGATTGAGTTTCAAAAACCCAGCAGGGAGGTCAGAGGGCACGCTGTCACGTGACGGCAATGGCTCAAACACTTTTTAACTTTAATGTGTAATTCATCTATGCTACTGACTTTGACAAACTTCAATCATGACAAAACAGTTGTATGACCAACAAATTTTCATCCCATTAAAAGATACTGCTCCGATAAATGAATTTTCATGTTTTATAAGACATCCTAGAATGTCAACATTAACGTTACAGGTTGGAAACATTCATTGCCTATAATATTTACATTGACTATAAAATAAAGTACATGTGTGCATACATTCTAATCCATAAAGTTGAAAAGAAAACAATGCTTCGACAGACTTTTAAAGGAAGAATCCAAAGTTTGGCAGGTAAAAACTTACCAAACAGAGCTTTGCGCGTGTTTGAAAGGATGAGCAATTCAGATGGTTGATTTTATGTTGCATGATCCATGCAGATTTGGTGGTCCTATTATATAAAGGCTTCAACTCATAAACCATGGCAACTACTAAAGGTCAATCTCTGTCTACATCACCTAATTTCATGAAATATCAAGAAAATTATATTTCAAACTGTTATGGGTATTATAAATCTGACATATTGCATGCACATCTTTATCAAATAATTTTCCATCCAATGGAGTGCATGTGTCAGAAAGGAGCACAAAGATCTGAGTCACTCCTGGCAAATGATGCACAAAAGGATCAACGACAATAAAATAGGGGATTAACATATGTTTACACAATTGCAAGCATATTTTTCAAGCATGTCAAATGAGCACTGAAAATGACATGCTTGATGGTTGATGCTTGAAAAAATATCCTTGCTTACTAACGCCGACTAGCGGAATTTATAGTAATTGCAGCAAAAACAGGAAATCTCGTTCCCAGGGGACTATCGACCAGATAAGATGGCGGAAAAATAAAACAGGGTTGTCGTCTACGCCCTTGGTGAGGTTTTCTCGCGTTTCGACCAATTTTGAAGGAATAGAGCAAACCCATTGAGATGATAGGCTAAATAACAGTCTAGAGTAACCGAAAATGAAGTTTGCGGAGCATCTATCGGCGCATATCACGCCAGAATGGCGAACTCAGTACATACAGTACGAGGTGCGTATGTTTTTTTTCGATCATCGATGTTGTGATTCACAGTCGATTTTAGAAGTTGAATGCACATAAGACGTGTGGCTATATTCCTGTGTGCACACAAAAGCCATTTCGCTTGTAGAAGGTGTAAAATATATGTGCGTATCATGTTTATATAATTTGAGACACATCTTTTCAATTATTCATGGCGGGGGGGGGGAATTAATACATATGCACAAATATATTTAATAGTAATACGTCAACGGGATCATTTAATTTTGATCAGGTCGCAGTCAAAAATTATCATTCATTCATGAAGGTGTACGATTCTTCTCCTTTATTTATTCAAATGTACGAAGGTTTTTGGTACCCTTTTTACTTCCATGCCAAGATGATAACATACAGTAATGGAAATATGATTCTTTTATGACAGATGATGAAAGATTTATTGTACGAAGCTCAAGAGAATGCCCCAACTGAAGAAGGTGAGCTAATATATATATATATAACCTAAATATTACAGAAGTGATGCATAGATTTCTAAAAAAGCATGTCCCTTTCTTCCTCCTTGTAATTGTATATCCTGCCATTATAAATTTAATACGGTATACAGACTGATGACTTTTTTCTCCCACGTGCATAGTGGCAGGCACTGCTGTCATTCAGCGATATTTTGCAAAGTTCGAGGAAAAATTCTTCGTGACTTGTGACAAGGAGCTGGCCAAAATCAACACATTTTTCTCAGGTGAGTTAAGGAAAGAAGTGCAATCACTGTCTCTTTTTGCCTCTAAAAAATTTGCATCTGATGTCTCAGTCCTACAGCAAATAAGTATGTTTTTCATATGGCTATCAAGTATCGACTACTCAACCAGGGCTTGAAATTCATTCTTGGGCATCGGTACACTAGTGACAAAAGTGTAAGTGTACCCAATGTCTTTGGCCTGTAATATTCCTTTCATTTCCCTTGAACTCCAGAGAAGCTTGCGGAGGCGCAGCGGAAGTTTGCATCCCTGCAGAGCGAGATGAACCAGGTGACGGAGCACGAGGAACCCATCCCGACCGTCCGCCGGCGACACAGCCTCCTGCGCCGCTCCAGGTCCAAGGAAAAACTCATCAAGACCAGAACCCGCACCATCCAGGACCTGAAGCTGGCCTTCTCCGAGTTCTACCTGAGCCTCATTTTGTTACAGAATTATCAGGTACTGTAACAAGGTTTAGTTCTAATGGGTGTTGTAAAAACACATTTACTTAGATGTCTGATGATAAAGACAAAATTACTGCATGTGTGTCATTTGATACAAATAATTGATAAAAGTTAAGTTCTGTTTTTAACTTCTGTTTTTTTCACCTTTTTGGTCACACAGCCTTTAAGAACAACCTTGAAAGTTTTCATAACATTTTGACTTATAAGTTTTTATAAGTTGAACTAAGTACCTGGTTTGTGTTGGGCACAATCTTATCTGGACTATTTTTCTTGCTTGAAAAAATGATTTTTTTCCCTTCCTCAGTTTAGCTACATAAAAATTAGTAACTACACATTCTATTTTTCATCATCTTTTTTATGTTTTTTCTACTTATTTCATTCCAGAGCCTGAACTTCACAGGATTCAGGAAGATATTGAAGAAACACGACAAGTTGATGGAAACAGACAGAGGAGCGGCCTGGAGGACAGAACACGTGGAGGTGGCACCGTTCTACACAAACAAACAAATCAACAAACTCATCGCTGATACAGAGGTAAATCTACAACCCTACCCTCACGTCTGTAAAATGAGAAGCTAAAATTTGACACTTCAGTGAAGAAGGGGTTAGGGCATGCATTGCATTTTATGTGCTGTAACTCAGAGTACCGTAAGTATGGAAATATTTGATTGGTGATCTCTCACTGCAGTCGTCATGCACAAATACTACTGTGGTGCTGCATTGTTTCATCTGCAAAGTCAAAGATACTGCAAACTCTACAAACTTTTGCCACCCTGCAAATTTAAGAGACTGAACAGTACTAAAGAGCACCATGAAAGAAAAATGGAAACAGTAATAATTATAAGGACAACTGTCACCAAACCACCAATGTGCATTGGTCCCTCTGTGAACCACCCTCCACCTCCCTCCCCCAAGGACATTGGTACAACCTTGACTCACTCTTGGAGGGTTGAGTGTAGAAATTCTTCTTCTCCCACGGCTGTTGGCATACATGTTATAGGTAGATATAAAGGGAAAATTAACCTTCTCACAGTTGAAGAAGTCTTTAAAATTCACAATGCTTGAAGTGTCCTTAGCTCCACCCAGACTGTTAAATCCCACTGCAGGAAGCCAGTAGTACATGTATTTGAGAGTAATTGGAGGGTTGTCCAGACTTGTAAATTCCACCCTGGGGCAGAGTTGTCAATGGTTGTATTCAGGCTGTCTTTATTCACATCCCCTTTCACCTAGTTACACCTTACATCTAAGTAAAAACCAAATAATTAGCATGTCTTACAATCTGTAGGATGATTGCAACTTGCTGTAGAACTTGCACCATTGTCCCATGGGCTGTACAGTATTCTCATGTAACTCCTCAAGTGATAAGAGTAGTGTTTGTCAATAGACTAGAATCATCACGCCTTCACGTGCACACCAGCTGGACTAAGGGGTGTCATATGCATGCACATCTCTTACCGTAGTGTGACAGTCAGAGGGCCTGTATGGGGGATTTCCAAACTACAAACCACAACATTTTTTGTATGCAGGAATTTTTCGTAATTCTGTGTTTTTCCCTCAAAAAGCAGATGACGTAAAATTAAGGTTAATTCTTTGCAAGAAAGTATTAATTAGTGACTTCTTTTTGGGTTTTACCAATGATCAAACCCCCATCACACCCTTAGAGGATAAATTAGCTTAGCGCAGACCTCCTTAAAAGCCCAGGTGATTTTATGAAGTCTACCAGCTTCTCAGTCGTCACTTGTCTCGAAAGTGAGATGGTGCTAACATACCCGCGCCCCAAATCCCTGCCAGTAGCCACCCTGTGTGTAACACACCTCAACGGGAGGAAGGAAGTTTTGACTGCCAGGATATGTGGAGATGTCAGAGTTTGGGTAAGAGTTACAGCTGTATTCTAAACCATAAGTGCAGCAAAAAGTTTCTTTCACAATTTTGAAATTGCTTTGCCATAGGATTTTAAGCTTGTACAACTAGGGCAGCCCAGGGTCATGCTACCTAGGGAAATTTTAGAACTTGTAATCCTCTGAAATGCTATTTTACACATTTTCAGAAGGAAAGCTTCTTGCGAAAGTATATTCTGATGTATGGAAGTTGAGATTTTGGGGGGACAGACGGGCTCAATTTTGTATCTGTCCCAATTCAACAAGCTAATTTTGGTCAGAGGATTCTGTCCTAAAGACATGTAACCTACAGACCTGTGAGATACTGTGTCCCTGTCTCTACTGACTCTAGTGCAGAGAAAATGCTTGTGTCTATATGTTGATACAATTACGATCACAAGACTTGATACGATTACGATCACAAGACTTGATACGATTACGATCACAAGACTTGATACGATTATGATCACAAGACTGCTTCTTCTCATGGCAATGTTGACAAAGTTGTTCTCCTTATCGGACAGCTGTCTGGAGAATAGCTGATGACATTGTTGGTTACCAGGTGGTTGGAATCATCTTGCTAGTAACCAGTGCGGTCCTGTATTTTGGAACTTACTGTTCAACATTCAGTCTGAAGTTGACCTGTCCTTGTTCCAGGCTGTGGTGACGTCAGAGTTGGAGGGGGGGAACAGACAGAGGGCCATGAAGAGACTGAGAGTGCCCCCTCTGGGAGAACAGGTAAACTACACTCTGACTGTGTCATACTTTTCTTGCCTTCATCTAGACACTAGTTATAAGAACTGCAATGATGTTAGAATCTGATAGTCTATGATAAAATCAATGTATTCCCATATAGAAGTCTGTGTTACTGGTAAAATTGGTCGCATTGTTATTGTTGCCATACATTGTACCATATACAACTGTCGATCACTATAATTCATCAGCATCACTCTTTTTTTTAATTTCCAGCAAACTCCATGGACAACCTTCCGTGTGGGCCTGTTCTCTGGCATCTTCTTGGTGTTGTCCTTGGTAGTAGTATTATCAGGTAAGGTTTTTTTCCTCATGTGATTTCTTCTGCAAAATTTACTTCGGTCACTGATGTATACAGGTATACAGATTTACACAACAGTTGGGGTGTTCAAACCTTGTATGCATGTTCCACCCAACAGCCATCTTCTCCCGCTACGACCTGAAACTCTGGCCGGCGATTCGGATGTACCGCGGCTCGTTCCTCATCGTGTTCTTCTTGTACCTGCTGGGACTGAACACCTGGGGCTGGCGCAAGTTCGGCGTCAACCACGTCCTTATCTTCGAGATCGACCCTCGACACCATCTCTCACACAGTGAGATACTGGAAGTGAGGGCCACTCATGTTCACTCTGTTATTTCTGTTAGGCCAAGGGAAAAAATGTTGCGTTTCATGTATCCTGACCGATCCTAGAAAAACCTGACGGCCTTAGCTTTTTTTGTGTGTGTGGACCCCTGCAAGGCACATAAATTTATCAAGTTGATCGACGTTTTCTACCTGAGTCATGAAACCTTGTACTTTCGAACATGATAGTGTTGATATAATAATGTCTGTGCCATAGCATATTTATAATCAATCAATGGTAAAACACATACAATTGTGTACTGCCTTTACATACAGTTGGACCTCCTTTCACCGTAGAAACTTGTTACTGTATTTCTAGGACATAGCCGTATAGAGTTTAAGCATAGTCACCCTCCTTACATTAACTGTAGGTCCTAATTCAATTTGTACATATGACGTACATTTGTATATTGTAATTGGGGAAAGCACAATGTGATTAAAGATCATAACTAAATCTAATTTCAAGCCATTGTTTGTACACAGGTTGCCAGTTTCCTGGGAGTGATGTGGTCCATGTCAGTACTGGGGTACATATACAGTGATGTGTTGAAGATCCCCAGTTTTGTACATCCCCTGGCACTGGTGGGCTTCATGTTACTGTTTCTCCTCAACCCACTCAAGATCTTCTACCACCGAGCACGCTTCTGGTTCCTCAGAATACTGGTGAGAGATAGAGAGATAAATAAATATATAATATTAATAATATATATATATAGAGAGAGATTGTGCGGAGAGAGAGAATGTGTGTGTGTTCATGTAAATGTATGTGTGAAAGAACAAATGAATAATTGTCTCAAAGCATTATACTGTATTTTTATGAATTCTCCAAGTTATAACAGAACTTTTCAATCGATCTACAACCAATGTGTAAAAGGCAAAAATTTGATGACTTACTTTTTGACAATTTTGGTATATGACATTGCATTAGTTTTGCAACTGAAGTAAATACCAATTGTATTTAAGACATTGTGTTAATGATAGATTTATTTCACCATTACTTATTTGTGTTTTGGTGTTGTTGTTTTTCTTCCCAGTTCCGAATCTTCACCGCCCCGTTCCACCCGGTGAACTTTGCAGACTTCTGGCTGGCTGACCAGTTGAACAGTCTGGTGTCAGTACTGCTGGACTTTGAGTACATGGTCTGTTACTTCATCTATGAAGTGGAGTGGCACGACGACCCAAGTAAGATCCTGCTGTTCCAAGGAACATAAAGTTAAAGTTCTCCAAACACAAAAGGTCAATGACCTGAACCAGATGTCTGTCACAATGGTAACATGTTGGGTTATATCATGTTGCAATTTTATAGCAGGAGGGATTTAGACTCCTATCACCATATATAAGTGTTTTTGAGTAAGAATTAACAGAGCAGACCATATGCGAATGTAAACATTATGCATTTGCTTTGCAAATGTTACCTTTTACCAAAAATGAATGTTTTGTCACCTCCCCATCAGATGTCAAGGTCTGCACGAGCTGGAAGTATGGTATTCGCTCCGTCGTGGCGTGTCTGCCGGCCTGGTTCCGCTTCGCTCAGTGCCTGCGCCGTTACCGCGACACCAGACACGCCTTCCCTCACCTGGTGAATGCTGGGAAGTACTCCACGTCCTTCTTTGTCATCGCTTTTGCCACGCTGTCCAGAGTCCATGGAGGTTAGTCACATGTTTGTGATTTTAATTTATCTATGACATTGTACCTGGAACTATTAATGGTAGCTTCTTGCTGTTACACCTTACAGCACAATCTTCTGAAGAAAAACATTGCCTTTTCCAAAGTGACAGGTCACTGTCACATCTTTGTATTGACCCAGGCCCAGCCTTTCATTTTTGGAAAAGCCTCAGGTGTGGAGCCAATAGAGCAGTTTTAGTGAAACTTCTCAACTTAAAATGGACCTTTCCACCCAGAGATGACATGTGAGACCCAAAGCTACACTCCACTCTTTCATTTTGGCAGAGCCTCAGAGGTGGAGCCAATAGAGCAGTATGGAAACTTATCTGCCTCTGTATGTTATCATAATGGCCTATCCCTGTCTTACTGTCCAGAGGTGACAGGTGAAACCCACAGCCACACGTTCTACTACCTGTGGATCTGTGCCGCCATCATCTCCACCTGCTACACCTTCAGCTGGGACATCAAGATGGACTGGGGCCTGCTGGACAGGGCCGCGGGAGAGAACACACTCCTCCGGGAGGAAATCGTCTACCCAAAAAAGGTCTGTATACAACACAAGTGGAGGGCTAACAGATAGTACTGTGTGGTTTTCATTTCAAACATTTTTTTCTGTATTTTTCTGTCTACCCGAAAAAGGTCTCTATGCAACACAGCAGGAAGGTTAACAGATAGTACTGTGTGCTTGTCATTCCAAACATTTATTTTATTTTTGTATTAAAAAGCATGAATCACTGTATACACTATAACTATAAAGTAGAGTGGATTCATTCCTTATATAATGAAGCTAACAGGCAAGAATACAGTGCTTTTTTTCAAAGATGCTGTTGTGATCCTCTTGTCGATGACTGTTTTCTTCAGATCAAGTGTTCATGACACATTCTTGAGGGATTGCTTCTTGAAGTTTGATTAGGTACATCCTGTCTTGTACTATAACTAATATGTAGCTGTGGTAGAATTTTTGAACACTGAATAAATCCCCATCCCACCACAGTTGTACTACTACCTGAGTGCAGTACAGAACTTCTTCCTGCGGTTTGCGTGGGTGATGTCCATCTCCCTGGGTGAGCTGGGCATCCTGCATGGCGAGCTGGTGGGCTCCCTCCTCGCACCACTGGAGGTCTACAGGTGAGGGCTCTTGTCAAAACACCATGTTACTTCCAAACAAACTTCCTGGCAGGAGGTTTGTGTGGAACTTCTTTCATCTGGAGAACGTTTGATAGAGATGGGAGGGAATATTCTGCATCTGCATGCAAATGTAGAATTTCTGCTGCAGTTCTTTTGAGATTTGCAGTTTTGAGATGTGTTAAAATGTACCTTCCTGCATGAGGTTTGTGTGGAACTCCTTCCGCCTGGAGAACGTTTGATGGAGATGAGAGGGAATATTCTACATCTGCATGCAAATGTAGGGTTGGTTCTTAAACAAGTCCTGCTGTAGTTCTCTCGAGCTGGAAAACCTATTTGCAGTTATATGATGTTTTGTTTGGAAATATCTTCCTGCAGGAGGTTTGTGTGGAACTTCTTCCGTCTGGAGAACGAGCACCTGAACAACTGTGGTGAGTTCCGGGCGGTGCGCGACATCTCAGTCACTCCGCTGAACCAGGACGACCAGGCCATGCTGGAACAAATGATGGACGAGGAGGACGGAGTCACGAACAGACGCAAGGACAGAAAGTAAGGAAACATGTCAACTAGGCCTAGAAAAAAATGTTGTTTCCTGTGTCAGTCCTAAAAAAATTGTGAGGGATTATCTTTTTTTTTAGACTTTGGCAATCCCACTGATCCAACTTATAGTTATACAATAACTAAACTTGCATGAGGATACTTATATTTTCAATGTCATTTTTTAAAAACTGATTGAACAAGATTTCATCACTCAGTCTTTTTATTGTCCCATTTCCTACTACTTAGATTGAAGCAGGTTACATCTGTTACTTTATAATGACTCAAACAAAATCATTGAGTCTCCATTGTTTCCTCACAAGAGTTCTGGTATTGTTTATTGCAAAGGTTCACCCCATGTTTGTGTTTTTGTTGTGTTGTTTTCCTTGTTGACCTGTCCACCGTGTCCAGACCGTCAGACCAGAATAGTAACCGTCGCCCCTCAAGGTCATTTTTCATACACACCCCGTGGTCCAGTGTTGACGAAGGTAATACTGGTGAAACACAAGCTGTCAGATTGTCACATCACTACCCTAACCTGAAAATGTTTCTGTTCTGTTAGCATGTTATAACATTACATGTCAGGATAGAGACTCTCTGATTGTGCATGCTTACAGCTCCATGTATCTGGTTGTTGGATGTAAGCATGTCTGTATTTAGGTATGTCTGTAAGGCACACTTGTACCAGACAGCATGAAGGTCAGAGCTTCAGCCGACCTTGAGAACAGAGCTGAGGCCTGCATGGAAGGGGTCACACAAAACAGGGTCTGGCATGTACATGTAGTAATTTGTCATCAGTGCTTGTACAATAGAACTAGAAGTCAAAGGCATTCAATTCTTGAAGCTAGCATGTGTGCATCAAATCTTACATTCCTTAATTCCTACATCTGCACTTGACTTATTTGGTGTTATTGAGTCCTGCTGGAAGAGTACTCTTTCTAGGTGAAAGAGAAAAGTGATAAACATTGCTGTTTTCTGCTGTTGACAGATCCGTGAAGAAACCCCAACTGTGGGCTGATGAGGAGGAAGAGGAGGAGGAGGAAGGAGATGGAGAAGAGGACACCATCAGAGTGTGATCTTCCTCATCTACTTACCTATGAAATGTAGCATGGCAAGGGCTGATGTTTGCTGTATAATCTTGTCCCCTCTGAGTATTGTACAGTATCCCCCTTAGTTTTAGTTTTACCACACTTTGTCCATGGGATAATGAAATGTTCTAGCCATGGAACATTTTGTACTATCCTATTGCATTTAATTGTGAAGGTTTTAATGATATGATCAGGTAAACCATCCCCAGTGAGATTGTGTTATGTAGGACATGTTGTGACTTAGGAGGGTTAGGAGCTGATTAGTACCTTTCTTGTGAAGGGACAGGTTTGGGAGCTGGAATAATGTTTCCAATGTGGTAGGACATCTCTAAGTATCTTTCTTTGTTAACTGATATTGTATAGTTTAGACAGGTGGTGAATTTTATCATAACAAACCAATATTTGTGCAAGGCAGCATTTTTTGTCAAGTATATATTATGTACATCGTTTGCACAGGTCTTGAACCATGATATCACAAACTTCACTGCTAACTAGCAAATAATTACTAGATAGTTTACTTTGATAATTTGTTACATTGTTCATGTTGAACATAAAGGAGTATGATAAGTCATAATGATGTCTTAGAAATGTACGAGAGCAAACATCATGTACATAACCTTGTCTGTGTGTCTGTGTTTTTAAGGGTACTGTGAAAGATTTGTATCTTTGTGCTGTATGTGAGGATTGTTCAAGATATGGTTAAACAAAAAAGATGTTGTGCAAGTGTTAGTGTCTTATACATTGATATGTACAGTATACAACCTGTGCTTGGCCGCATCAACTTGATAAATTGACAGGCTCTAATGTTTTCATATTGATCAATGTTTAATGTTTCAATTTTGAAAATGGAGCAAAAATTAAACCGGACCATTTCTTGAGGACCATTCCATTATTCAATGATATGAAAGTTACTGTGTTGGTTACAACTGAAAAAGTAAGGAAACACAAAACTACAGGAGTAGGACAGCAATTGAGTCAGTCCTATTTGTTGTATATTTCAACCTTTCTTTTCCATTGTGTTACATTTTTTGTTATAAACATTCACCAGGTGAATAATTTTAATGTATTTGTCTAAAGTGACAAAACAGTCTACAACATCATTCATTGCAAATTAATGATTTTCACATTTTCTCTTTTATTTATTCCTTTTTAGTGTATTATACACACAATTTTGTACAGAGTTGTAAATAGAATTATGTTACATGAAAGCATATGTGCAATCCTACTTAAAATGACAATTCAAATGTATGTTCACAAGTCCAGTAACATTATTGTGTAATTTGTGTAATGTCGTCTTTTGCAAATGTGGAGTTGGTTCAAGTAAAGTGGAGATAAAATTCTGAAGTTCCTTTTGCTGTTGTTTTCATTACCGTTACATCATAATTACTGTTTTTTGGTTTAATAATGTAAATAGCAGAAACTCGAAAAGCAATGGAAAGACCCTAATGATACTTTGTGTTGTAGTTAAAGAGAAGTTAGAAGCTATTGTCATCTTGTTGGAGTTTCCGTAAATCGTCAAACATTTTGACCTGGTGGCACTGAAGATTAACGATTTTTAGCTTAAGCATTGTTTATCCCATGTATTTTGTGGCTTGGTCAATCTTGATTAGCCCTTCGAATTCAGCCAATGAACCAGAGCGGACGATATCGATAAACGTCCTGTAGATCGGACTGTTTCATCACGTGAAGGTCACACTGATGTTTGTCATCTGTTCTCTGATTGGTCAGGACAAACAGAACGGCAATGTTTGACTGGTTAAAGGTCCAAATCTCATTGTTTCGTACTGTGTTGTCCATAAGTCCATAGCAAAGCCAGGAAAAGCATGCGACAATGAAAATGACAATAGGGACCATCTTAGCAGTCCTGTCGCTGTTTTGCTGCCTACAGTCGACCTGCGCACAGTCCCCGGCACTGACTGAGTTTATGAACCACCTGATAGGACTGGAGAAGAACAAACCGATCGACTGGCAGAGCAGTCTGTACTTCCTTCTAACCGGTGACCTGGATCCAGCGTGTTACAACCAAGCTTACACCGTGCACAATGATACTATACTGGCCAAGAGCTACGCTACACTTAGTAAGTGTAATTTTGATTTGGGACCTAAAACGCAGTCACGTACAATGTATAATATGGATTTTGCTTATGGATTTTCGATCAGCTAGCTAGTCTATGGCAAAATCGAACGTCGACAAGTGTCTACATGTACAACAACATTTTCGGTCCTAAAACGGCTGACGTTTAATTTTACGACACAGTCACGACTGCCCAAAGGATGTCTTAAAGTCATACTGTTGCAAACATGTGTTGTGTATGTGAGAAAGACCGTATCAGTACATGTTCTAGTTTTACAGGTCGCACGCAACGTACGCCTTCCGTATTGAACTTTGCTCCGTGGTTGTAAATAGGGTTGCGCCATATGCATTCATACAACAGAAAATGGTGCATATTATACCATCATTGTGTCACTGTGATAGCATTACTCGATTACAACTTTGTGTATAGCATTGATAACGGTAACATTTCACGGTAAATGATAGTACATGTGTGTATCCCTTTGCCACCCCCGTCAGTGTTTGACAGCACGGGAAAACTCACCCCGTCAGGGTTCTTCCAAGGCAACTGGCTGGAACTGGGCAACTACAGAGAATGTACGGTAGACGCCAGGAACGCCGGGGATAGACCTGAAGATATCGAGCCCATGTACTGTCTGGTACTGTGGGGAGGGATACCGGCGGTAAGAACTGTTATATGCATTATATACTAGTAAAACTTACAGGTTATACGTAATCAATCAGGATATACATGTATACGGGGACGGCAATCCCACGATGAATCTGACTGGGCCCGCAGGCACATATTCTACAGCTAGTTACCTTCGCCAAGAAGGTTATGTTTTCGTAGGCGTTCGTGTGTGTGTGTGTGTGTGTGTGTGTGTGTGTGTGTGTGTGTCAGCACGATAACTCAAGAAGGCTAAAATGGATTGTCTTGATATTTGGTAGGTGGATAGGTCTTCATGAGACGTGGAACTGATTAAATTTTGGGCCCCCTAGCGGCTTGTAATGGTACTGCAGCTGAACTTCCGGTTTTGATATCTCGTGATCTAGACATGCTAGGGTGACGAAATTTGGATGGTAGATAGCTCTTGTGCTGGGGAAGAAGTGATGTGAGTTTGGCTTCCCTAGCGGCTTGCTCTGGAACTGCAGGGGCGTTAGTTGAAAAATATTTAAAGGCGGATAACTCTAGAACCGATTGATGGATCGTCGTGATTTTTGGCATGTAGGTAGCTGAAGTGATGCTTAACATAATATATTATAATTATGCATATATTAATGTAATTTGCATAATTAATGAGGAAATTCTATAAATCAGCTGCATTCCATGATAGGACTATTCAAGCTTGTGACATATTGTAATTAAGAACGGCAGAAATACAGGCAGATATCGGTTATGCAAATGAAGACTTAACTTGCATAATTAATGAGAAAATGTTATATTTACATAGTGGTAACTGCCTGGAATTTCATACTTGGGATATTTGAAAGTTATGTGAAGGTGAACATAATTAAACATAACTTATTCAAACAAGGACCTCATTTGCATAATTTATGAGGAAATGCTATAATGGCATTCTTTGATAAGATAAGACTGTCTTCTGGTGTAGAATATGATCAACAGATATAATTGATGCAAATATAGCATCCTATTTGCACAATCTGGGGGGTTAATCTATAATTTCTTACTCATAAAGGCTAACATCATTTGGCGAAGGTATGAGATCGTGGAACTCTAGTATACGAATAAATCCATCTTTTCTTTTCCCAGGAGTTTAACGCTTATGCCACGTACTACACACAAGGTGTGTGTGTTCCCAAGTCCTGCAGTGATCGTGCGGTAGGAAATTTAACATGGACAGGTAAGTTTGTTTTCTTCTTATTTTTTTGGCAACTCACAAAAGCCAGGGTGCCAAAGAATTCATACGAATTTTACGAAATTCATACTGATTTTACGTAATACATACCATCCATTACTAGGAAACACAGGAATTTTACGGAATACATACGATCCATCACGAGGAAACATACGATCCTTACTAATTTGGTGATTGTGCCACATCATCTATACATTGTCACTTCATTTTCTCCTTCCCGAAGGCTTTCTTGGAGTGAAGCCGATGCCATCCTGGTTCCCGATCGCCGTCTTCTGTCAGAGAGAGGAGACGTACGACACCTACTCAGCCGGGGCTGTCATTGCATTGTACGTTAGCACCGCACTGAGTTAACAAATTAACAGAAATGTCGTCAATAGTGTACCATATCTGAGAAAAAATCTTTAAGGCTAGTAATTATATATATATAAATATATAAAAGGGAGACTGAACTGGGTTTGGTTTGTACAATCTGGTGTGACGTAATCGTCTCAAACTACAATACTTCGCTTGTAGTGCGCTAAAGGAATAGTTTACAAAATGTTCAGGTCATAATGACTACGTATCCAAAGGAAGTTTAATACCATTTTTGCAACGTGTGTTCCAGGATCATCGTTTCCCTCATGCTCGGCGTCCTTGCCGTCAGTACGCTTTACGAGTTCATCATCACCCTGCGCTTTTCTGAGGAGGACAGGAAATACTTAACCACTTGTATGTGTTTTAACCTTTAGATTTTAGATTCCTAACTATCATACTGACACACACTATAAAAGGGCTATATATGTCTATTATATGATCTATTGTTGTGTAGTTGTGTAACAGCAAAACATAATGTTTTAGCCACCGGTGTCACATTGAAATGTAAGTATTGCTTTGAGACGGTCTTTTCTTGTTACAGTTTCAAGATGTATTTAATTCTCTAACGACTCAAATGTTCTTTGTCCATCTGACAGCCGGGGTTGGCCGCTTCTGTCTGTCCTGTTCCGTGTACTCCAACACGAAGAAGCTATTCAACACGTACCAGCCGCCCGGACAGCTCCCGGCACTGCACGGCATCAGGGTCATCAGTACGCTGTGGATCATCTACGGACACACCGACTTTTTCACTATCGGCAACATAGAAATATGTCAGCGTTTCTTACTTATTTGCTTAATTTCAATTAGATAATTGAAAGTAGAGAAGAAATACTAGAGAAACACATTGGGAACCTAAATCAAAGTAACTGCCGGAATTTAACTTTAGGGACATGTAAAAAAAAGTTACTGGTTCAAACTCAAATGTCCGGGGTTTCAGAACAGTTTGTTGGTGACAACTTAAATTGCTTTCTGCCAAGCTCACTAGAGATCGGTATGAAGTGATATTGTAAACGTTTCAATATAGTTAAGATCATTTCAATTCTGAAGGAATGTTGCTCTTAAAATTGCAGCTAACAAGTTGGAAAAATCGCAAGCCAGCGACGAGTGGTGGTTCTTTATCAAAGGCAACATGGACATGGCAGTCGACACATTTCTTCTACTCAGGTACGAAACAACATCTTCTGTCAAGTTCGTCCCAACATAGCAAAAACCGTTTTTACATGGTTCATGTCATGAAGTAACTTTTATGCTTTGTCGTCTTAAAGATGTGGTCTTCATTCCTTGATCTTCCAGTGGCTTGTTGGTGACGTACCTCTTCATGAAGCAGATGAAGAAGACCGGTGGAAAGTTTACATGTAGAGACTATGGTCTACACGTCTTACACCGTTATTGGAGGTAGGATAGTTTACATGTAGAGACTATGATCTACACGTCTTACACCGCTATCTGAGGTAGGATAGTTTACATGGAGAGACTATGGTCTACATGTCTTACACCGTTATTTGAGGTAGGATCCTATATATATAGTTAATATGGAGAGACTATGGTCTACACGTCCTACACCGTTATTGGAGGTAGGATAGTTTACATGTAGAGACTATGGTCTACATGTCTTACACCGTTATTGGAGGTAGGAACTATTTCCAATTATGGTGGAGTTTATTTCAGTTTAGGTAAGATCTTTGCCCAAACATGTACGTATACACTGGCAAGTTTCGCAACTTATCTAAAAGTTGTTCTACAAAAAATTCAGTGCTGGTTTCTTGTGGAAAAATCACTTGTTTTAGTAGCAAATATATCTTAAAATGTAATGTGATGTTAAAAATCACCTTTAATATTTTTCTTCCCAGGCTGACCCCAGTGTACGCCTTCCTGATCCTGCTGTTCGCCTGCTTCACGGCGTACCTGGGGTCCGGGCCGTGGTGGGCTCTACACGACGGCTGGACCATGCCGGGTGTGCGGAACTGCCAGACCTACTGGTGGGCAAACCTGCTCTACGTCAACAACTATGGCGGCTCGGGGGTAAGGTACAATCAAAATACATGCCCGTAGCTATCTAAATGTCCAAGATTTTTCTGATTCGTATCACCAGGGGGACTGGAATCCTAGAAAAACTGCTTCCCCCATTGGAAGTTTGAAATGAATGATCACAGCATGACCAGAGCAATTTTTTAAATAAATTTATAGTGATTTTTTTTAAATTATAGTGCTTCGGGCATGGCTGGTACCTTGCTGTGGACATGCAGCTCTACGTGAGTCTTGCAGGAGTTCTCGTGGCACTCTACAGGTAAGTGGGGTTTACTTACTAACCTCTAGAAAGTAATAAAGAAAGAAAGAGCAACTTTGAAAGTAGTACAACTACGCCACATAGCCTAATCCCTTTTGCTTATGTGTTCATTGTGGATGAATACTAGTACTTCATGATCAGATATTCAGTGAAAAAATACGTCGAGCAAAAAATTCTGCTGTATGTAATCGTATGTAATCCTTGCCCCTAGACATCTGACAAAACATGGACGCCACAAGTTCTTTGATCTTCATTAAGCGTAGTATTTACGCCAATGATGAAATGTTGCTGTTAATGGTACTTCGTTCAGTCACAGTAGACGTACAGAATACATAAACATGATATTACTGCATACTTTCTGTTGACTTTCAGAAAGCCAAAAGTTGGAGTTGTAATTTGCTGCGGCGGCATGGCATCTGGCGTGTTCCTGAGTGGAATTCTGTATCATTTTGTTGTCAGGTGAGTCCTTCAAGTACATGTATCTTAATCCCAATACTTAGCAGAATACTTACTACAGTAACAAAATGTATCATTTGATTATGCTACTGTTTGAATTACTGTAGTGAGGGAGGCGGAGACTACGTTGGTACTACCTACCAATGGACGTTTACCAGAATGGCGCCATATTTCATGGGTATGCTGCTGGGCTACTGGCTGTTCAAGACCAACCGAAAAGTCCCAAATACTCCCAACACCACGGTAGGAAGTTCATGCGTGTAGAAAGATCAAGTTAGATATAGCATTGCGGTCGAGGGGATTACGTATTGTCTATGTACAATTGTTTCATTTTCTGTTGTTTACTAATGCATGTATTTTTATTAAGACATATGGATGGTTACTCATCGAATTTGTCATATGTAACAATGCCAGTATTGAGTGTAATAATGTCATCATGTTTTTGCATCTCTCATATTCTACTAAAACATGTTCATTGTTTATTGTTAAAGTGCCACGCAACTGCAAATCTTACATTACTTGCTCCCATGTTATACAACGGTAAATAGTGTTAATAAGAGTCTACGAAATGTTTTCTATTGTGCTCAGTTCTACTGTAGTATTGAACATCCATCCGTTTAACTGTGTTGCAATGATTGAAGATCTTGATCACTTCCCGTTGCAGAAGTTGATGTTGCTGGGCTGGGTTCTGGGGACGGCCTGCGCCCTTGTGGCCCTGGTCACGCCGTTCCGTACACCCGAGGCTGACCTGCTCGGTAACCCCGCCTGGAGAACTTTCGACAGGAGTCTGTTCTCCGCCGGAGTCGCCTGGGTTGTGTACGCCTGCTGCGTGGGGTACGGAGGTAAGGCTATGTTGTTTTTTTTTCTTTTCCAACATTTATTACAAGACATGTCGACGGCACACACAAGTTTTTTTTTCAACCACCAACACAGACAAACGCATGAACGGACTACAGACATACTCATTTTCATCTGAGTGAAGTGAGGCCATTCGGGAAGGGAAAGGGCACAAGATCGGTGGCATGGCAGGATTTCGACCTCTTGGTTCGGAGGCCAAACGCTCTGAAGTTACTCCGAACGACCCCGCGTTTACTTGGTTTAGCTGGATTGAAAAGCTAGAAAAACCGTTGGTTTCCACAGGTATTATCTCGGAGTTTCTGTCATGGAGCGGCTGGCTGCCGTTGAGCCGGCTGACCTACACGGCGTACCTCGTACATCCCATGATCATGCAGGTCTACTACATGTCGTACAAGGGGGCGCTGCTGTACTCAGGAGTCAACTGGGTACGTCAGACATCAGTTATGGTCATGAACAAAACCCTAAACAGGTAGCTGGGCATGAGACTTAGCCAAACGACATTGAATATTTAAAAAAAAGATAGCTTAAAAATTCAAACGAACGGTTCTCAAAATTTCATACAATCTTAACGTTGTTTCAAACATTCAAACATGTGATGCCCCTGTAAGCGCAGGTTTCCAGATCTTACAACTAGATTCGTGTGCATTCCTTCCTTTCAAAATTCAAAATTCAAAACGATATTAAAGAGTTAACTTAACCATAGATGTTCATGTACACGCGTCCCACGTTCTCTCTTGACATAAATGTAAAGGTTTAAGAAGTATGTATGTGTTCCTAACATTCAGTCATGTTCCGTTCTATTTTCCATTTCTCAGTGGTTCCTGTTCGTGAGTTTCTCCTTCCTGGCGTTTGTGTGTGGTTTCTGTGCGTCCATGATGGCGGAGGTTCCCTTCCTGGAGCTGGAGAAGTTCATCCTGCCCACACGGAGGGGCAGACAGGGCAGGGACGTCGACAGAGAGGGAAGGGACACACAGGGCAAATCTGAGACAAAGGCTGAGGAGAATCATGGTACCGTAACCCATTTATAAAGTAGGTAATCACATTCAAAACATCGATCAGCTCGAGATGGTCGAGAGGTATGCTATATGCCTGAACTTCAGCTTTATGAGTGTTTTTCTAGTATTATGTTTAGTGAAATGGTGCAGCATGACATAAGTCAGTGTAATTGCTCTCAAACCTCTTTTATCGTGTTTTGTGTATCCATGGTCGGTTCGGCCTTTTTTGGCGACGCCTCAGTGGGAGTGTCTTTTTATAGTATTGGGACCGGTTTCACCAGTGCAACTCCTAGGATACCCATTTATGGCAACACATCACGGGGTGGTCAAGAAATAAGCTGATAAATTTTTAGCTTCGGACACAGGAAATGGCTGGGATATTTTTTTTTATTCCTTTTGCAGTTTAGAACAATTTAACGATTGTTTTTCTTTGCAGACGAGAGCAACCCAAACCTGCCCCTGCTCCACCATGGCGGGTACGGCACAGTCGGCAACAACCGGACCGCGGGGAACGGTGATGCCGACAAAGACACGCCTACCATCAGGGCTACTAACACTGGAGACAACATGACCAAGTCTGTCAACATGGAGAGTCGCAGCAGAAAAGCCTTGAACCAGAAGCTGTAACTTGATCTACACTCAATTCAATTCCTGATTTGATTTGATTTGATTTTAGTTGTGATTACACAATTTATCAATGATGGAATCTATGCAAGAGCATTGAGAACTCCTCAAACCTATTTACAGACTTATCTGAAGGGAGTAATTGAGGTACACGGAAGTGTTAGGGGTCACTTCAGAATTTACCTCGACAATTTGTATATATACGTTAGAAATTAAACATGATTAAAAACACTTTCCGCTCTGCAATTTTTATCGTTTTGTGTGTGTCGCATACGATAGGCCGTCGCTGCTGCTTGAATCCAAAAATATCTTAATTAGTGGTCTTTGGTGCAAAGAAAGTTACAAGAAATCTCCAATCATATGTTGGGAGGCAAACTTAACAGCTAGGAAAACGTAGTCTGATTTACCGGTATCTAAAACTTCCAAACATCTTCCAAAAACTTCCCGATGTCGGTGTCAGGTTTCATGTCATGTCACATGTCATCATACTGTCACGTGAAGGTTAGGCGCCACGCCGCGAGGTACACTGGTACTGCAGGCTCTACAGGTACCAGGTATGGACGACGCGTGGATCGTGATCTACCCAAAGCACAACAAAGATCTTCCCGTACTAGTGAACCCGTTACCATTTAAATCTGGTTGTGGATCACCTTGGTCACGTAGTTAAACATGAAGACCACTGTGGCTGCCGTTCTTGCTCTGTATTTGATCTTTTGCTGCTCGCAAACCGTGTCTGCACAAGGGCCAGCCTTCTATGAGTTCCTGGGTTACCTCTCCGGACTGGAGAGGAACAAGGCTGTCGACTGGAACTCCACTCTCTACCTCCTGTACACGGGTCAAGTCACACCAACGTGCTTCACCGATGCCTACAGAGTCTATAATGATACTATACTGGTCAAGGCTTACGCAAGTAACAGTAAGTTCGCCGTGTTTTGGTTCACATGTACAGTGGGTTGAACGTTCTCCAGGTCACTTTTCGGTCCACTGGCGCCCGGGTGCATCACCTCTAGGGAGTTATTAAAGTGCAATGTTTTGAAATTGCTTAACTTCACTCTCTCTCACATTCAATTTATACCAACATATCAGAGATACATGTACACTAAAATCTTGTATGAAGGGGTTTACGGAAAAACATGGGTACCTGCCAGCCAAGCTACCTGACCTGTCCACCAGGCCAGGCTAGCATGCCAGACTACTCACCCCCCATTCATATCCTCACAAAAGATAAGACATCCAAAAAGCTGCGCCCTCAAGTGGAATGCATGGGCGCAGGCACGTAAGTTTTTCTGTAAACCCTAAAGCCTGTATAAAGCATCATTATGGATAATATTACCATGGATAATTAAAAATCAAGCCTCCTTGAGATAACAGACATCCAAGAAAATAGATGAGAAACTTTGCTTCACCATGACTGAGATGACATCTTTTTCCCCTGATGTTTCAGTGCTGGACAGTACAGGGAAGATGACTCCATCTGGGATGTTCCAGGGAAACTGGGTTGCTATAGGTGACTATGAGGAGTGCACAGTAAACGCCAACAATGCACCAGACAAGCCCAGCAACTTTCACACTATGTACTGCACTATAGCATGGGGAGGAATACCAGAGGTGGGCTATGTAACTTCCTTTTTGTATGAAAATTAAGACAAGCCCATGAAAATTGGAAGTTAGACTTTCAGAAATGAATGTCTACCATTAATACATGTTACATAATTTACCAAGGTACAGGCTGGGGAATATCATTTCAGTTAAAACTGTTATATTTCATACTATAATAAGCCTCAACATCACTTTCAGCTATTCCACATTCAATCTGTTCACCTGTTCATTGTTATGTGTTTTTTTTGTTGTTGTTGTTGTTTGCACAGTTACTTGCTGCCGGAAACCAGTTCTATGCACAAGGTGTGTGTGTTCCCAACTCCTGTACTGACAAGGATGTTGGACTGCTCACAAGCACAGGTAAACATGTGAACTTTTTCCTACTACAGAATATGAGAAGTGATAGTAAAACAATAGAAAAGAGGCTTTTAGAATACCAGTGTTTTTAGAAAGAGGGAGATGGTTCCATTTTAGTACATCATAGTTTGGAATAAACATTAATGTTATACTGTATAATGTACAAAGAATTTGGTTTGTCATGCTAAGATTCTTTGTGTAAGGTATCATACTACAATTTCTCTCCCATGAAGGTCTCCTTGGGGTGAAGCCCATGCCATCATGGTACCCTATAGGACTGACCTGTCAGAGAGAGGAAACTTACGCAAACTATTCAAGCACTGCCATTGCTGCTATGTGAGTAAAGCTATCATTAATGGTTATCAATTTACACTTTGAACAGTGTATCTGAGCTATAAGCAATGCTTTTCTACCCTTACATATTCAAACTAGTAGGTAGCCCTTTTCCATTCAACATTGGCAAGATTGGAGATATGCACTATGACGATTCAACAAAAGTAACAAAGTATTACATTCAGTTTTGTTCATCTGTTGCAGAGTCATCATCAGTATCATCCTCATCATTGTCACTGTCTCCAGTCTTTATGAGTTCATCATCACAGTTTACTCTCCAGATACAAAGAAAGCTTTGGATGTCTGTAAGTACACTCCTTAAATACTAATAGTTTCTTTTTGTTATGAAAAAAATTGCAATGATTAATAGGTAAACTCAACAATTCAGTAGATTTACAGTTTATGTCTAACGGTTTGGCATTTTATGACACTTTGCAATTGGCACTTTTAGGATGGTTGATGAAGTTCAGAACTGAACTGGGGATAGGATAGTTCCAACTTTCCAACTTGAGCACTTTTCTTACAATCTTTTTCATGTCTTTAGCAGCGCGTGTTTTCCTGTCCTTCTCTGTGTTCACCAATGCGAGGAAGGTGTTCAGCCTCAAGTCACCATCAGGACAGCTCCCAGCACTCCACGGCATACGAGTCATCAGTACCCTGTGGATCATCTTTGGACATACTAACTTCTTTACCCTCGGCAACATCGAAATATGTAAGTTCCCTATCCAAATGGCAGACGGTTTCATTCAATTTTTATAGCTCATTGAAATTAGAAAAGAAAATACTAGAGAAGCATTGATATGGAATTTGGCCCACTACTGACAATTAATGCCACTTAGTAGTTAAGAGATGACCAGAAAATGTAAATGTTGGAAAAATAAGCACTTGGTGTTGATGATGTATTTTTTCAGCTAACAAACTGGAGAGAGATGGTGCAAGTAAAGAGTGGTGGTACTTCATACAGAACAACATGGACATGGCAGTGGACACTTTCCTCTTGCTCAGGTATACTGCTAGATACAATCTGATTTTACCTGTCTAAAAGATTGTAATTTTGTAATTCTTTTATTTTTTCATTGACCTGTTAACTGTTACCACTTTTCAACTCAACAGAAATTGTCTAGGTATGATGTTCATAAATAAAGTAGTGTCTGTTGTTTAATGTACACATCTAACATCACATCACTTATGCTGTTGTTTTATCAGTGGCTTGCTGGTGACGTACCTGTTTATGAAGCAACTGGCACAGACAGGTGGTGTGTTTACATGGAGGGACTATGGTCTGCACCTGTTACACCGATACTTAAGGTAATTCTCTCTAGGTAAAGTGTAATACGGGGTTAGGCATCAGGGAGAGGGTTAAAACAGTCTGCTGTCAGTCACAGATGAACCAATGGTCACATTTGTTAGACTAGATATACAGGAATTAGTGCATTGGTTTTAAACTTTGTTGATATAACATTTCAGCTAACCTGTGAATACAGCTTTTTGATCTCTGTGAAACCATGTGTTGGAATAAAGTTCAACATTTTACTTAAATCTGTATGTGATTTTCAGGTTGACACCAGTGTACGCCTTCCTTATCCTGATCTACACCTGTCTGCTGGTGTACATGGGAGATGGACCTTACTGGGCCACGCCTAGTAACTGGGTCATGCCTGGTATCCATGGCTGCCAGCATTACTGGTGGACTAACCTGCTCTACATCAACAACTACTTTGTTGACTCAGGAATAGAGGTAACGATAGAATGTTTTCACTCACTTCCCTTCAGCGATAATTCGGAAGCAGTCAGGTGCTGCTGGCCATGTTGGTGTCATTATTTGCATTTCTGTGGATCGTAGTGCAAGTGTACTCAGCATTTTTGTCAACATTCTCAAAGTACTTCTCCTATTCTATTCTTTGAGCTATAGACATTTAATAATATAATAATAGGTATTTTAGGCAGTCAAAAGTCAGAATGGGTGAAAACACTTGATCTATGATTCAATGAAATGCAAATATGGACACCAGTATGGCAGCAAACATAGCAATGATGTCATATAAAATACTTACTACTTTTGCTTAATAACATGAAGGCACACAACATAAGTCACTCTCATGGCAGTATTGTTGTCTACAGTCAGTGTTGAGCTCCCTTTACACCTGGAATGACTGACTTTGTTCGCAGTGTTTTGGCTGGGGATGGTACCTTGGTGTGGACATGCAGTTGTATGTGATAATACCAGGGGTCCTCCTACTGCTGTACAAGTAAGTGTCTTTGACTGTGAAATGTTATGAAGTAAAACTTTTCTGATGAATTCTTTTTTTTCATTCTTAAAGACAGCCCATGCAAAGTTACTACCATTAGGATTACCATAAACTGACACTGTTCTTCACCATGATTTAGGAAGCCCAAGATCGGAGCCATTCTCACCTGTGGTCTGATTGTCCTCAGCTGGGTTCTGCATGGGGTTTTGTACCACTTCCTTGTCTAGTAAGTACAATGAAGTGTTTTTGTTCTAAAACTCAATGTTATATGCAATTTTTCAAGATCTAGAAAGTATCAATTTAAAAGTTTTGATACAGATGCAGTCTGCTGCAAGTTCTGCAAGTCAAAACTGCAGTTTCTTGGTAAAATATTTGAATCGCTTTTTAATCATCCTGGGACACCATCCATATTTTTAGGATGATTCAATGCAGCGACAAAATTGTACACTAATTTCTCTTATTTATGGACTGGATGCAAATGTTACCTTTTTATCTTTTACCTGATGTTGTGTTCTGTAAATTTTGGTGTTTTAATGAAGCCTAGAATGCAACTTTCTCTCTTGAATATGTCTTACCCCAGCTCCATTGGAGACTATATTGAGACGACCTACAAGTACACGGTAACGAGGATGGCACCATACCTGCTGGGTGTGCTGCTGGGATATCTGCTCTTCAGAACCAACAGAACCCTTCCCAACATTCCACACAGGAAGGTAGCAACTGTGCACTCTTCTAGAATGCCTTGAGTGAGTGAGTGAGTGAGTGAGTGAGTGAGTGAGTGAGTGAGTGAGTGAGTGAGTGAGTGAGTGAGTGAGTGAGTGAGTGAGTGAGTGAGTGAGTGAGTGAGTGAGTGAGTGAGTGAGTGAGTGCAAAAGGACAGAAGATTTGTCCCAGGACCAAAGTTACAAGTCAGTTGGCAGAAACTGAGAAAGACAACAAGATTACTAATTGTTTTCTCCCTACAGAAGCTGTTATTGCTAGGCTGGTTTGTAGGCACAGTGTGCAGCCTGGCTGGTGTAGTGACTCCCGCAGCACTTTTCCAGAACACAGACCCACCATACTACATACAGAACGACCCTGCCTGGAGAGCTATGGAGAGAAGTCTGTTTGCCACTGGTGTTGCCTGGGTCATTTATGTCTCCTCTGTAGGATATGGAGGTACACAAATTGATGATTGTTACGGATCTAATGTCTCTAAAATGTACTTTTCTTAAGCTCTCTATTAAATTAGAGCTTTTCTAATGGAAACATTCAAAAGTAGGCAAACACCTGAAGGGCATCAATTTATGCGTTTTCTCCTCTAAATATTTAGTCATTTTATATTAAGTCTCATTAGCCAGATCATATCCAATGTTACATGCAGCATACACCGGAAGGCTAAAAGTGGACAGTCTTCAAATGCTATACATTTGTATACTCTACTGTATATACCGGTATTGAATTTTCTTGCCAATTTTTTTAGGTATCATCTCTGAGTTTCTGTCGTGGAGCGGCTGGCTGCCGTTGAGCCGGCTGACCTACACGGCCTACCTCGTACATCCCATGATCATGCAGGTCTACTACATGTCGTACAAGGGGGCGCTGATGTACTCAGGAGTCAACTGGGTAAGGCAAACTAGCACATTGGCAAAACGTACTGCGCCTGTGCAAAACCCCCATTTTTCACGGTTTTCGTTGGATTTTTGGTCAACGTTGCATCAGAATTTTGCCTGGTGCAGCCGATATTATAAGTAATTCTGCTATGCATTGTTCATCAAATCAATTGTTAATGAAATATTGTGTTCCTTAAAGAGTCTGCATTAAGTTTAACAAAAAGACTATAATTGCTTCTTGTTTTTCAGCTGTTTTTATTTATTTCCTTCTCCTTCTTGGCATTTGTGTGTGGTTTTTGTGCCTCCATGATGGCGGAGGTTCCCTTCCTGGAGCTGGAGAAGTTCATCCTTCCCACGCGGAGGGGCAGACAGGGCAGGGACAGAGAGGGCACACCTGACCCTGACCCTGACCCTGAGAGAGTTGACGTGGAGCGACAACAATACCAGCCTCTCCACCAGGGTACGTACAAACCACAGAAAAACTATTGTAGTGTGGCAATCTCATACCTGTTAAAAGTGGATTATGATTTATGTGCCAGTAACTTCTCAATTAAAAAGAATCTTATCTATCTTTATAGTGTATTCTATACACTGATATGCTGTTTAATTGCATGTATTATTTTATTTTTTAATCTCATTGGATGATACACAGAAATTGTGTATAATTTTCATATAGACTATATAGAGTGTTAAATTTGTATTGCAGGTGTTAAAACTTTATTGCTACAATCATCTCATTAAGACAAAATATAAAACATATACAGAAGAAGGTCTGTAGACATACATGCATTCATTCTGAAACTTTCTTTCTATAGGTGCTGTGGCAGACACACAGATGCCATACTATGGCTCTGTATCAACTTAACAAGAACATCTGACATCCTTGCAAGAATAAATGATCTTGGGAAGTTTTTACTATGAACTATGCACTCAATAATCAGGTAGTTATGTACTAAGTCAGTGGAGCTGATAATATTCAAGCCATATCAGCTGTATTTTTAATCATTTTGTGTCTGGTTTTTTCTCTGTACTGGACCTTACATTTGTACATAGAACAGCAGAGCTGACTCTTCCTGGATTGTTACGAGATTTCTTTTTGTTTTTTTGGACACACTAGTCAAGAATGTATTTCATAGATTATTGGAGCTGACAATGTACAGATTATGAATAATGGAGGATGGGAGTTGTTTTATCATTCTTTGATGCTGTCTGTCTCTATACTAAATACTAAACTAGATAGAATCTGGAGCTGACATTTTTCAGAATGTAATGAAATTTCTGTTTGTTTGTTTGTTTGTTTGTTTGTTTGTTTGTTTGTTGGACACCACTAGTCAAGAATATAATGAATATGAAACTATATGCATTGCTGTAAATATTCTGTTATTGAATAAATATTTACATCTGATTGTTCATATTTCGAGAGAGTGGTATCCCCAGGATTTAGAAGTTAGTGAAGTTGGTTGTCTTTTAAACTACCTCAAGTATGCAGTAGTGGCCAAATATTGGACATAGAAAATCATGGCCCATTTCAGAATGTTACACCAAATCTTACAAGCCAGTTACCTACAACGACTCTTACTACACAAGATTCACTTGCTCCCGATTTTAATACTATTCTTACACCCATGGGAATTCATTACAACAAAAAAGGTACACTGCACCCATGGGAATTCGTTGCAAGAAAATGAACAGCACCTTTCAAAACTAATACTTTCATCAGGAACTTTTAAGAGCAATGCTTTTATTCCGGTATGTCATCTTACACGCACGCGTGAAGCTTTTATTCCAATATTACATCTTACACGCAAGCGTGCGCACGCGTGTCGTGCGTGGAGGCGCACGCGTGACGTGCATGGAGCGTGACGTGCGTGCCTCTGCGCCTAAATAATACAACATGCCTCTTTATTACCTTGCACGTGGCTCTCCTATAATATAAACAAACAGGCAAATCAGGAAGAAAAAAATTGACGGATTTTTTTTCAAATATTACATGTTACATCTTACAGACACAGCTCATTACCCACTGTGCTGAATTTACAAACAGGCGAGGGTGTGAAGACTTGGAGGCACGTGGCTCTCCTTCTATAATATAAACAAACAGACAAGGCAGGAAAAAAACGGACGGGCTTTTTTCAAATATTACATGTTACATCTTACAGACACGGCTCATTAACCACTGCTGAATTTACAAACAGGCGAGGGTGTGAAGACTTGGAGGCACGTGGCTCTCCTTCTATAATATAAACAAACAGGCAAAGCAGGAAAAAAAAGGACGGGCTTTTTTCAAATATTACATGTTACATCTTACAGACACGGCTCATTAACCACTGTGCTGAATTTACAAACAGGCAGCGAGGGTGTGAAGACTTGGAGGCACGTGGCTCTCCTTCTATAATATAAACAAACAGGCAAAGCAGGAAAAAAACGGACGGGCTTTTTTCAAATATTACATGTTACATCTTACAGACACGGGTCATTAACCACTGTGCTGAATTTACAAACAGGCGAGGGTGTGAAGACTTGGAGGCACGTGGCTCTCCTTCTATAATATAAACAAACAGGCAAGGCAGGAAGAAAAAAATGGACGGGCTTTTTCAAATATTACATGTTACATCTTACAGATACCAGTCATTACTAACTGTGCTGAATTTACAAACAGGCGAGGGTGTGATGATTTCTAATTGGAGGCACGTGGCTCTCCTGCGGAGCAAGAAAAACAAAAAGGACGGGCTTTTTCAAATATTACACCTTACATCTTACAGACACGGGAAACTGTGCTGACTTTTCAAACTGGCAAACGTGTGATGATTTCTAACTGGGGGCACGTGGTTTTGCTTTAAAAAATCTAAGTAGAAAAACACAAGAGGAATGAACAAATCGCCGTGTTACCTCCCAAAAGCACTTCATCGACAAATGGGTTTGAATGTGTAGACGTGAAGACTGAAGCTGTACACGTGGTTGCTATTAGTAGTGGCCGTGCTCGTGTATCTGCTATCTTATACGTTTACTATAATAGATACTAGTATTTAAGATACTTCCATGGTTTCAGGCATGGTTTCAGACGTAGGTGACCTTTTTGTTCCTGAGTGCGTCCGTTTATTTGTAAACTATTCTATTGTTGTGACATGCACTGAACCCACTATGTAAATAAAGGTCTCAATGACCTCCATTTCTTCCTTCAGAACGAACACTGTAATGTAGCAGCTTCATTTCACCCAATGATGGTATAAGATTTTTACCAACCACGTGGTACACTGGTATATTGGACCAATTCGAGCACACCGCAGAGGTGTGACAATCCGGGATTCGGCTTGTAGTTGTTTGACATCAACAAGCCTCTTATCTCGCGTGCCGCCCGCCCTGGCCTGCCGCGCCCTCATTTCACCCAATGACAGGGTAAGCTGGAAGTTCATTTCCATTTACCACCCTGGCTGGAACCACGTGGTACACTGGTATATTGGACCAATTCGAGCACGCCGCAGAGGTGTGACAATCCGGGATTTGGCTTGTAGTTGTTTGACATCAACAAGCCAATTACCACCCTGGCTGGAACCACGTGGTACACTGGTATATTGGACCAATTCGAGCACACCGCAGAGGTGTGACAATCCGGGATTTGGCTTGTAGTTGTTTGACATCAACAAGCCTTTGATCTCGCGTGTGACGCCCGCCATGCTGCCGCTTTATGTAGGAATAAAACTTTCCCTTTCTTGCAATGCACTTTCAAAATTTTGTCGCCCCTTTTTGCCCGTTCAAGGTGGGTAAGGCAAACTTTTCCTCCGTCGAACGGCAACAACGCGACGGGAAACATGCGCTGCCCCCCCCCCATTATATATATAACTCCCCACCCCACCCCCCCAAAAAAGAACTATATGTTACTAGTTATGTCCTAAGGAAGGGTCGCCATGAAATCATATACTGGTACCATTAAGTATAGTAGCACCATGAAAACGCACTCTAATGTTTACAGAATATTCATTACTGTGCCACAGATTTTACAGAATTCTCACGACACTGTCACTGTCACCTCTTGTGAGGGCTGCCTGTGTTTAGTTGTAAATATCCGGTTTATTTCCATTTACCACCCTGGCTGAAACCTATCATGGGAACCACACCTAGCGGTTCGTTTCAGAGAAAAACTGTTTATATTATAGAAGGAGAGCCACGTGCCTCCAAGTCTTCACACCCTCGCCTGTTTGTAAATTCAGCACAGTGGTTAATGAGCCGTGTCTGTAACATGTAACATGTAATATTTGAAAAAAGCCCGTCCGTTTTTTTCCTGCTTTGCCTGTTTGTTTATATTATAGAAGGAGAGCCTCCTGCCTCCAAGTCTTCACACCCTCGCCTGTTTGTAAATTCAGCAGTGGTTAATGAGCCGTGTCTGTAAGATGTAACATGTAATATTTGAAAAAAGCCCGTCCGTTTTTTTCCTGCCTTGCCTGTTTGTTTATATTATAGAAGGAGAGCCACGTGCCTCCATGTCTTCACACCCTCGCCTGTTTGTAAATTCAGCACAGTGGTTAATGAGCCGTGTCTGTAACATGTAACATGTAATATTTGAAAAAAGCCCGTCCATTTTTTTCCTGCTCTGCCTGTTTGTTTATATTATAGAAGGAGAGCCACGTGCCTCCAAGTCTTCACACAATTTATGTAAATTCAGCACAGTAGTTAATGAGCCGTGTCTGTAAGCTGTAACATGTAATATTTGAAAAAAAGCCTGTCCGTTTTTTTTCTGCTTCGCCTGTCCATGTTATAGAAGGAAAGCCACGTGCCTCCAAGTCTTCACACATGTTTGTAAATTCAGCACAGTGGTTAATGAGCCGTGTCTGTAACATGTAACATGTAACATTTGAAAAAGCCCGTCCGTTTTTTATTCCTACTTTGCCTGTTTATATTATAGAAGGAGAGCCACGTGCCTCCAAGTCTTCACACCCTCGCCTGTTTGTAAATTCAGCACAGTGGTTAATGAGCCGTGTCTGTAAGATGTAACATGTAATATTTGAAAAAAGCCCGTCCATTTTTTTTCTTCCTGCTTTGCCTGTTTATATTATGGAAGGAGGGCCACGTGCCTCCAAATCTTCACACCCTTGCCTGTTTGTAAATTAAGCACAGTGCCTGTGAGATGTAAGATTTGTGGTAATGCCCATTTTGTCTAATAGTATGCAGTCAATACAGAACTAATTTCACCTTTGTGGTTAATGAAATGTAGAAGCAGAGCCGTGTTAGATGACCTACGGCTGCGGCTTGATTTAGAAAAAAAGCGTCTGTATCTACAATCATTCAAGGGAAGGAGATCGTATAACCTTACAAATCAATCTTAGCACCTTAAGACCCAAAGGAATGAATTCCCTTGGGCACAATTTTAGTCAATGTAAGATTTGGTGTAATATTCTAGAATGTGTCTTAGTTTTTCATGTCCAATTTCTTGCCATGTATACAAGTATGAGTACTTAATATACTGTTAGAGTTGTAATATGTCAAATAAAGGACACGTCTTAACAGTAGTTAAAAGGAAAAGGACACACCAACTCAGCTGGTGACTTTGAAATGTACTAGAACTTTTTAAAGTTTTACTTAGGCATTCCAACAGCAACATAATACATAAAAGAGCGGGCTTTTACGATGACCAAAAAAATGGTCGTTCAAGTTGTAATGTTCAGCATGCATCTCCTGGTGGTTAGGATTGGTACTGCAGTGTGTCATGAGACCACTTCGGCCATTCAGACAGTGACGGCTTGGGGTGACCTGCAGCTGTCTTACATTTATGTCGTCACAAAATCGGGCTATGTCACTACAAAACATGGCGGCTACAACAGGTTTTTCGCCCGTTCTCGTCTTGGTAAGTCCTTGCTCCCCATCTGGGGTGGCTTTTAAACCTTGCTTTATGCTACCCTGGAATCCAGATTACCGCGGGCCTGGCCGAATTTCTAGTCGGCTGAGACTATAATAATAAACAACTGCAGCCCGCTAAACTCCCTGGACGGCTGGATACTGTTACGGGTACCCTGGGGGCCATTTGCGGGCGGGTGGCCCTGAGGGATCTGGATCTGGCAATGAGGCACAGCGGAGCGCGGTGAGAGAGTGTCACGGGACGGGAAACCAAGGCCCGAGCGCGCGTAAACTCTTCCAGGGGGGTAGTCTTTATGCACGATTGCAGCTGCCAAGTTCATCGTTTAAATGTACAGATAAAGAAATTCAGTAAACCGTGTAACCGCATAGATCATTTTGTTTCAAAGATCGAAATCAATGTGACCGTAGTTATTTTGAATAGTTATATGTCTTATATTTTGAACTTGGCTGGTAGTAAACCAAACTGTACTCGTAATAGTCGAGTTCTGATCGGTGGATTTTCATGAGGATAGATCAGACAACACCGTCTAAGGACAGAAGCTGAGGCCAACGTTAACTAGGCCACTGAGGCCATCCTATAACCAGCCGCTCTGAGAATGTTTGTTCCCGCCACAGTTATGGGACATTCTCTGGGCGGCTGGTTGTAGGATGGCGGCAAAAGAACGCGGTATCAAAACTCCCACCCGCCCCGGAGGCCTGCACTGGAGGCGAGGCCAAGGACATCCCTGATGTCCTTACCAGAGCTGTGTCCTTGCCGAGGCCAAGTTATATCTAAATAGGGTATTTGCGCGTGTGTGTAGGGAGAATACTTAGTGTTAGCACACTTAGCATATACAAATCAATTTATTGTACAATTTTGGTACAGATACTGTTGGGACTGCACGGTGAGTGTTATGGACAGTCTGATGACGAAACCCGCCTGATAGACCTGACATGGACTATGGAGGAGGGAATGAACGTGTATCCATCACACGCAAAGTACCGCTTCACCATTGTTAAAAGGTAAAGGGCCTACAGGTCGCATCGTCGTCGTAAGACCATGGTGTTTGTTTGTTTATTTATTTGTTTATTTTATCTATTTAATCTCCAGACAGCTGGGTAGCATTCAATTTTGTCAAATTGATTTTCAATGTGGCCCAGCACAGTTGTGACGGGCCCTACAGAAATTGTAGCATTCCAGTCATCACTCATCAGCTAGTAGTCTAAACGCACTCTGTTTATTTATGACATTCCATTGTACATAACCAACCAACATACACTACCAAGCGAAAGAACAACTCATGTGTTGAATATTAGAGGTGAACAGCCCCGTGGGTACTACCTGGAGACCAACAACGTCTTCATGGCCGAACATACGGGAACTCACCTGGACGCGCCGGCGCACTTCGTGGAAGGAGCTTGGAGACGTGAGTAGGTAGCTCTTTTTAGTCAGGAAGAAATGGAATTGTTTGTTTGTTTGTTTGTTTGTTACGTTTATTTACACGTTTACTTCCGCCATTGCACAATACCACGCTTCTTTCTTTCAGTCTGATTTCACTTCAAATTGTAAATCGGCAATGTACTTATCATCCATGTCTGTATGATTTCGCGTTTCAATAATTTGACATGTAACGTTAATACTATATACATTGCTTTAATATAGCTGTTATTTTGGCAACGCCTCAGAAGCGAAGCCCTTTGCCGCTCTTGCATTTTTTTTTTCGACTGCACCCAAAAACTCTTCTCTTGTCGTCGCCAGTTGACCAGATCCCGCTGGGTCAGCTGACGGGTCCGGGAGTTGTGGTGGACGTGAGAGACAAGATCGGCAACAACTCGCGCTACGCCGTCACTCCGCAGGACTTACAGGACTGGGAACGAGAGCATGGGCGGATCCCAGACGACAGTATTCTCATGCGTAAGTCTTTTGATAGTCTCTTAGTACTGATATAGATAATCAATAAGCTATTGATAATTGGCAACACAGCATACTGTGATCGCCACATTAAACAAGAAATCACACGTTCATGATGTTTTCGTGAATTTCTCCATGTTGTTAATTTAAGTTGTGCAGTACATGTTAACAAAATATAACAGTTATGCGAAAATTAGTACAAGAAATTAGTCAGGTTACCAGACATATTTTAGCTCCCGAGTCTTCATCCTCTCCACAAATAGAGACTATAAAGACTTGGGATCTGAAGTAGGTCTGGTAACCAGGCTAATCAGTAATAGCCACGTGTCACCCCAACCTCAGCATTTTCTTTTATATCCTGACTGGTACCCAGTCCGAACAGGTTGGGGGGAGTGGTACTGGGAACGAGGACCTAGTGCCTACCTGGGCACAGATACCACAGACACCACCCTGCTGCGCTACCCCGGTCTGCACCCAGAGGGCGCTCAGTGGCTTGTAGACAACCGCAAGGTGAAGGTGGTCGGCATAGACACCATTAGCCCTGGGGTAATACCTTTATTTTTGGCGACGCTTCCGGGGCGGAGCCGTTGGTTTAGTACTGCGATTGACTTGAAAATATTCTAAAAATTCCACGCATGCATTCCCTAGGGAATTCGTTTCTTTCATTTTTCAGGAACTGCCTTTTTACATAACAGGGAGAAACCATAATCTAGTGGTTGGCTTGCGGCTTGAAAATGCGGTAGTTTGTACGCACTATCATGGCTTTTTTTGTGATACATGTACATGCATTTTTTCCTCTCGCTTTTTACCGGCTTACTCTCTTCATTCTTTTGTTTTTTCTTCTTCTTTTGCTCCTTGTGCTGCTTTGTAGAATATCGTAACATTTCAAGGCAGCCAGTTCTCTCTATCTCTATGATGATTTGCATGGGACAGATTTGTTGTATCCTAACAGTTCACGACGTTCTACCTTAATTACCGCACCAAGGGTGTTCCCGTCCACGAAACCCTCCTAGGCAGCAACGTCATCATCATAGAAAACGTGGCTCACCTGGACGAGATGCCCGCTACCGGTTCCACCGTGTACGCCATGCCCATGAAGATCGGCCAGGGAAGCGGAGGCCCTGCCCGGGTCTTCGCAATCGTGGACGGCAGAACCAGCACAGCGGGACCGACAGCGCCGCACAACCTGGTCGTCTTGTTGTCTGCAATTATTCTATTCATGTTGGCTTTCACGTAAAATGGCGCTCACATGAGTTTTTACCGTTGATTTCCAGTGTTGTTTCAGCCAAAATTATGACAAACGAACACCACCAGTGTAGCAATGTCTAATTTCTTTTGCTTGCCTAAATTGGCAAGATCCGTTCTACTTTTGTAAGAATACAGATAATTTCTTTTAATTGTAGTTTGTACTTACACCATTTTGCATATCCACCATCTAGTAGTCAATTTGCAATTAAACAAGAGGACTATCGCCTTATACAGACCCTCCCTCCCCGATAAATATCGTACACTCCCTTTCGCTACAACTATATATATATATATATATATATATATATGGCTGTTAAAACCTATACATTACGTTGTGAGACATATCCTCTTTCCTCCGAATGATAACTATTAAGTTTAGGAGACAATTTCAAGTGTAAATATCATCAGTGTTCTGTCTACAGTCGAGATTTTAGACTTGTTCTTTCCGCCATGATAGTTTTGACGATCTTGGCAACTTCTTTGGCACAGCCGTGTGACCACGTGACCCCGTTCTCTCCATGGCCGTAGTTATGGACCACCTGAAAAACAAATCATCGCTTGTGTATTTTTTTTTCGTCTCCACTTTCTTTGTCATCGTAAAAGGTATTACTACCGCATCATTATTCTAGGGCTGCTGGCTTATTGTTTTGCATGCAGGCTTTTGTCGATTCAAACTATTACGCTAGAAAGATATCGACTTTGAAAAGGAATTCATGTGTCCATAGCGTAAGTACAGATAGTAGTGCGACATCAAACTTTTAATAAACAAAAATGTCCCCGCACAAGTTACCTAGTTTATCAATAACCAGACTGTTACAGCTTCATTAGAAAAATGTTAATAGTATTTTAACAGTGCTCCTTATAGATAATCCTGTAGGTGTAATGAGTTGACGACTTTAATTTTAATGTCCTGTCCTTGTCTTATGTTGCTTGTTGTCCTTGTCTCCAGGGTTAGCCCTTTAAAATAGTTTTGTAACTAGTTGGGCAACCCTAGTTGTCACGTTTTGTATAGCTGAACCAATAAAGTAATTAGAAAATAGAAATTATATCAATCTTCAGCAGAAGAGATGTGGGTAAGGAGTGACGTTAGTACCTCCAGTTTCTGTCCTGTTGAAGGTTCCACCAGCGTCTCTCTCTCCAGTCGGATTCCTCCTTCCCGCATGGGTCGGAATCCCGTCCACTCTTCCACTACCTCCGCGCCCTGTATCAACAACAGACAGATCACTCTCTACGATATGGGGTCACTTCAATGTCGTATATCTACAAAACTGTGCAAAATACGGTGTCTTAGAAATGAGGTAAACGAGTCCTGAAACGAGTACAACGGACACATTGTAAATATGCAATTCAGACGCAAGTCTGAAAGTGGTATCGCAATAAAGTTTCAAAAGTAACCTCCTTGGTCCTAGTCGATGTAAAAAAAATGAAAACTGAACAGCTGCCTGTCATTGGTAGTATCTCGGTCATCATGCCACACGATGACAACAGGTTAGTACAATTTTCTTCAATTGAGATTTTCTATTGTCGATCACAAAGAACGTATTAGTAGATCACCTTCCTTTAATTCTTTTTATTATGTATTGTTTTTGCTCTGTTTCCTCTTCTTCTCCAAACCAGTAAGGTCAATAACCTGAACCAGACGTCTGTCACCATGGTAAACTAGTGTTGGGTTACATCGTATCATGTCGCAATTTTATAGCAGGAGGGATTTAGACTCCTGTATATGAATGTGTAAGAATTAACCAGCGAATTAACAGATCTAACGTTAATTATAATGATCAGATTATTCTAAGACACATCAGTATGTTGCAAAATCGAACTTTATGTATTTTAAAAGTATGTTCATCGTAGTTTACCTTCATTTGAGAGTTCAAGGCCAAGATCCCCTTCCAGATAGTGTCCGTGTCACGTGGGTCGTTCGTTTTTCGAAAATTCCCCGTTTGTTTGATTCCACCGATAACTACGTTGTGCAAACTGCAAAAAAATATTGCGA